TAAGCAAAAAGAAAAAAGCCAGAAGTGGCGCTGTGGCTCAAGTGGTAGAGCGCTAGCCTTGAGCTGAAGAGCTGAGGGACAGTGCCCAGGTCCAGGCCCCACAACCGGACCCCAAAAAACAAAACAAAAAACAAAAAAAACCCCAGAAAACCCAGGGCCTCATGCATGCTAGGCAAGCACTCTACCAGTAAGCTACATTCCCAGCCTGACATAAATTCTTACTAAAACTTAAAAAAAAAAAAAAAAAAAAGATGTGGCTTTCATTAAGTAGGCACCATTTTCCCCCTTTGGGAGCAGAGAACCGTACCTGAGAACTTGATAATGGTTTTTGCACGGAGATCGTAGAGACCAAGAGGCCGAAGAAGTTCTGACACGTCTCTCCAGTCTGCAGCTCTTGCGACATCAGCTGAGGGGTACTTCTCTAGAAACTCCCAGAGCACAGGAATTGCCATTTTGCCTGGGAAGTGCAAACAGCCTGTCGTTATCAGCCTCCAGGAGGGCTGGTTTCCTGGTCAGGCAGTTTCTTGTCTAACATTTTTTTGTTGTGGTTGGTTGTGGGGCTTGAACTCATGGCCTGGCACTCTTCCTGAACCTCTTTGTGCTCAAGGATAGCTTTCTACCACTTGAGCCACAGCACCACTTCCAGTTTTTGAGTAGTTAATTGAAGATAAGAGTCTCATGGGGACTTTTTTTGTCTGGGCTGGCTTTGAACCTCAATCCTCAGCTCTTAGCTCCTGAGTAGCTAGGATTACAGGTGTGAGCCACCAGCGCCCAGCTTCATCTAGAACTTTTCATACAGAAGTTTTATTTGTTCAATCATGGACAAGAAACCATTTCTTTGAACCAGCACTTTCAAAGTCAAATAACAGCAATGCAAATTCATCTGGTTAATAGGCAAGTTACACTAAAACTGGTCTTGCACAGAATTAGCTTTAAATAATCAGGTCACTAGCAAGTTAGAACATGAGATATGGAACTAGAAACATGGCTCAAACAGTAGAGTACCAGCCATAAGCAAAGGAGAATGCAAGGCCTGGAGTTCAAGTCCCAGTACTGACCCATACACAGTCCTCTCTCAGAACACAAGGTATATACCATGAAAAAGAAATGCTCACAGGGGGCACAGGAATGTTAATTTTCACTGATTATCAAAACTAGTCTGCAAGTAGGAAGAAAGTGTCAATCTGCCCCCTAATGATCATAAGGACTTGGGATAGCCTTTAGTCTTTATTTTTGTGCCAGTCTGGAGGCTTGAACTCAAGGCTGGGTGCTGTCCCTTATCTGTCTTTGCTCAAGGCTAGCACTGTACCACTTGAGACACAGCTCCACTTCCAGCTTTTTTGGTAGTTTACTGGAAATAAGAGTCTCACAGACTTTCTTGCCTGGGCTGGCTTTGTACCTCAATCCTCAGATCTCAGCCTCCTGAGTAGCTAGGATGACAGGCGTGAGCCACTAGCACTTGGCATGTAGCCTTTCTTATAGGTGAAGAGTTTGAGAGCTGAGGAAAGCTTAGCCAATATCACAGACTTGAAATAGACCTTGAACCTAGGTCTCTAAAACAACTCAATCTGATTCTTTCTCCTCTCTAGTCTCTAAGACACAAGGGAAAATAATCCACAAACCTGAGGTGCGGTTGAGAAATATAGTCGCAATGAGGAGCTTCCATGGGTCATGGAAAAGGGTTTCTTGAACAAGATTAAAAGGTGACCGAGGAGGAGTCCATTTCTTAAAGGCTTTGCGTCGTGGCGGGCTGAGAGCTGAATGGATACACAGCATCAGAAAGGTGTACTTCCAAGACATGGACAGCCCCATGCTCTCTCTGGGGAACTTACCTTCTTTGTTATACTTGTTGGAAAAATACAGGCTTGTTTTCCTTTTTTCTATTTGTGCCCGTGGGATGGCATTTTCTGAAAAGGAAGAGTGAGCACTGTTTACAGAATCTACGGTGATGGTGGTAGTTATGGCACACGCTTTTAAGACCAGCACTTGGGAGGCTGGGCATCATAGGACAAGAAAGACAGAGGGAAGGAAGCAAAGGAAGAAAGGAAAGGGAGTGTGGGAAGGAAGAGGAGAGAGACCCTACATATGAGGCCAAGTTAAAAAAAATCTATGTATGTATATGCACACATATAGCATATACATGAAACAGACCAAAGCAGTATAATAGTTGTTGGTGAGTGGTAACTTTTATGTTATTAATTTTCCAAAATCTCTGCACTGAATGTGTAAATACTTAGCAACATAATAGTTACAAAGCAGAAGCTGCAACAAAAGCTAAGCTCTGGACTGGAGCGCCCCCTGAATGAAGGGAAGCAGTGTCACGTAGCCTGTTTTCTGGTTGTCCTATTTAGTGCTTGTTTCAGCCACATGCTATGAATTTGAATGCCAGCTAAAAATACCTTGCATTTATATAGTGTGAAGCCATTATTTTCACTTCTTTTTTTTTAGGCGGGGTCTGGTCATGGGGCCTGGACTCTGGGCCTGGGCGCTGTCCCTCAGCTCTTCAGCTCAAGGCTAGTGCTCTACCACTTGAGCCACAGCGCCACTTCCGGCTTTTTTCTTTTTGCTTATGTGGTGCTGAGGAATTGAACTCAGGGCCTCAGGCATGCAAGGCAAGCGCTCTACCACTGAGCCACCTTCCCAGCCCCTATTTTCACTTCTTATCTTACTTTTTTTCTTTTTTTTTGAGACACGGTCTTGCAATGTGGCCAAGGCAACACTGAATTCATGATTCTCCTGCCTTTGTCCCCTAAATCCTGGGATTACAGGCATGCTCCACCATGCGCAGCTTCACTTTACAATATTCTTAACGTAAAAATGGGACTAGTGAGATACTACCTCCATTTTACAGAGAAACTAAGACTTAGAAATTAAACAATGTCCCCAAATGATGCTGGGTTGAGAGTACAAGAATCCTCATAGCCAGTGCCATTTGCCATGAGTTTGCTTAAGTAAAGCCCAACAAAGTATCAAGAAAACTGCCCTTACGCGGGTCTTGGAATCCTGGTCCATGGATTCCTGTAACTAAGCACTCGCTGCCTCCCTTTCTGGTGGGGCCAATGTGGGAGTGAGAAATAGGCAGGGCGCTTCATCTTGCACAGAGAACTAGACTTCTGTAAGTACAGGATGAACAGAGTATTTCCATCTTAGTCACCAAAGGATGCTCTAAATATTTAATTCGTCCATTACATTGGCAATAAATCTACATAAATGCTTTCTTTAAGAAGTTCTAAAACCTAGAACAGACTTGAAGAATTCTTATACATTTGCTAGGGACATGTGGCCATTTTTTATTAAAGGTAGATTCCAGGCACAGAAAGGTCTTAAAATTAGGGTAAGACTGAGCGCAGGAATTAAGTCTAACCTCCTGTTTCTACCAATTTTGTCCAGGCAATTTCCCCAAAGGGTTTTAAGTAAAATTACTATTCTTTATAAGAGTTATTCATTATATCATAATGGCATAATGAATGACTAATATAGAGCTGCCCAAAAGGTCTCCTTTTTTTAAAATCAATTATTCACTGAGGTATTATAAAGGCAAAATTGCTAAGCCTGGAATCTGTATTAAGAGCATATTACAAATAATACATGAACTACATGATTACTCCTTTGAATTATTTAGAGCTCTTAGGCCTGTTAGCAAAGCATTATGTGATAATAGAAGATACAAATGACTGTGATAGATACGAAATTAAACGAAGTCACACGTCAGGACTAAGCAACAGGAGGAGTGTGAAGACACACTATTCTCGGTCAGTCCTACAGAAAAAGAACCTTCTCCACATTTTTCACAAGGGAAGCCTTTCAATTTCCCTTAATACATTAAGATTGCTGTCTGGGGAAAGGCTGGGGAGAGAGAGGCGGCCTGAGGCAAGCCCCAGCTGTTGCTCCAGGGAGACGGTGGCAGATCCTGACAGTGACCAGCTGGGCCTCTCGGTGCCATGGTCAGAGACAGTTTTAGGATCAACTGGGAGAACAAATCTGCCATAACCATGGACAGGCATGAAACCCAAGACCTGGGAGTGTGAACCCCCACATTTAACAGCGTCAAAGTGTTCAGAATACCTTGGAACATTTTCTCAGAAATAAAGTCATTCTTGGCCTGAGAGCAGTTGCGCATTTCAGAATCACATTTTAAAATGTCAGTATGCAAATGATGCTTCCTGTCCCCATCGGCTACTTCTGTTCTGATCTCTTCACGTGTCTTGTCATCTGCTTCTGCGGTTGGACATGATTGGTTTGTGATGATGCCAGAAGTGATTTGTTCAAAATGAGAATCTGATCCCGAACTCAGAGATGTCTCTTTTACAAGGCTCCTTTCTTCACTGGTCACACTGAGGGGCTGGTCGCTCGCTCTGCTATCTGAAATGCAGTCAGGTTGACTTTCTTGTGCAACAGGCTCATTTTCAGCACCTGTGTGATTAGGTATAGATCCTGTTTTTCTCTTACTTTGAACAGAACCGGGCAGACACTTCCTGCGCTGTTTTTTGGTTTTCTTAACTGGAATTTCTTTCAACATAGTCACCTTTCTTTTGGACTTCCTGACCTTAACCTCATGAACAACTTCATCTTCTTTCAAGAGCAAAGGGATGGGGTTAGAGGTTGATAGTGCTCTGCTACCTTGCAACTCTGAACCAGCACAAGAAGCATTTCTTTTCCTCCTGCTTCGTGTCCTGAGGTTCTGATTTGAAGCATCACTTTCCTTTTGTAGCTGGGCAGTCAAAGCTGCAAGGCTGAAGTCTTTACGTTCTGACTTGATGACTCTTTTATTCAGTACAGTAAAATCGAAAGCTTCTGGTTTAAGAGAAGTCTGTCCATTTTTGTGAAGGTAATTAGCAAGAGACTTTCTGGATCGGAACTTCTGTCCTTGTGGGCTGAAAAATGATATTAAAGAGAATGTGAGACTTTTAAAAAGAATGGATCCACATTTCAAATTTCTAATTAATAATTTCCACAGGCTGCTACAGATGTTTGCCATTTTGACGTTTAAAAAGTGATTTAAAAAAAGCATTTACCTACTGGTACTAGGACTTGAACTCAGGACATTGTGCTTGCTGGGCAGGCTCTACACCATGTGAGCCACACCTTAGTACTTTTTTGCATTAGATGTATTTGGAATAAGGTCTCATTTTTGCCTTGCACTGGCATTGGACTTTGATCCTCCTACCTACAGCCCTCCTTTGGTGTATCTGGGATTATAGATGTGCTTATTGCTTATTGCACTTACTGCTGCAAATGAAGGCCTAAGACTTTCTAGGCTGGCTGACCTTGAACTTCCAAATCTCTGCCTCCTGAGTAACTGTAAAGGGCCTTCTTAAATGGATTCCTCTATGATAGATAGCATAAAACTTACGAATACAATCAAAGGGCAAGTGCACCTTTAATCATTCACACTACTGAAAGTATCAAAATGCATGTAACTGAACCTAAATCCATTACTGAAACTAACCAGTAACACTGATTAGTTGTTTTTGGTAATGGTGCTGGGGCTTGAACTCAAGGCCTGGGTGCTGTCTCTTAGCTTTTTCTTTCAAGGCTGGCACTCTATCACTTGAGCTACTGCTCCACTTCCAGCTTTTTGGTGGTTAATTAGAGTTAAGAATCTCATAGACTCTCCTGCCTGGGAAGACTCTGGACTTGCATTGCGATCTCAGCCTCCTGAGCAGCTAGGGTTACAAATGAGCCACTGGCACCTGGCTCCACCATGGTTATTAAGATAATAAGCCAGCTGGGCGCTGGTGGCTCACGCCTGTAATCCTAGCTACTCAGGAGGCTGAGATCTGAGGATCGTGGTTCAAAGCCAGCCCGGGCAGGAGATACCGTGAGACTCCTATCTCCAATAAACCACCAGAAAACCGGAAGTGGCGCTGTAGCTCAAGTGGTAGA